TTATAAAACATTGCTCTTGCAGCACAGACGAAAACAGTCTGACACCGGCTTGGGCGTCTGCCGCACGTCGACGAAATGCACACTCACGGTGACTGAGTGGTCGGTAAGCTGCGTATCGAGAATCGGTTCTCTTGCGCATGATACTCCTCTCACGGCAAACGGCAAGCAGCTCGTTCATCAGCTGTATGACATCATTGCGCGTACGGGAGCGATTCATGCGGCTCGTTGATCGAAGATACTCGGCTCTCAAAGCTTGCTCCTCCCGAGTGCAGAGTGCTCGACCGTCATGGGCCGTGTCTTGTTGGTATCCGTTGCGAGTACGCGCGGTATGAATTTCATTTGGGGTCGCATCGTACGCAGTTCAGAACAAGGCCGGTGAGGATGGACGACGGCAACGGCTGCTACCGGAAAAAAGCTTCAAGCAAAACAAAGCATGATCGAAAACTGGCGGGCTGGCCTTTTACTGCTCCTGTGAAGAACCTTGAAGTTCATCATCCTGAAACACACGGCCCGCCATGTGATGGGCAGCAACAGCCGCGTCGGCTCGCTGTCGTCGTTCGTATTGATTTTTCTCAATGGAAAAAGCTTATGATGAGCAACGAGAATTCGCGGCCAAGGCAATGACCAAGCACATACCGAATGGGCATATTATACACTTGGGAGCTCACAGCGCACTGCCACAGCCTGACCCTCTCAGCGATCGTAGATGCAGCAGCGGGCAAGCCGCCCGCGACTCTTCCAACCCGCTCGCGGCGCAGCCAGAGCCCTCAAATGGCAGCAGAGTATCGCACTAGCGTGTGACGAAGCCACTTGAGAACAGGTGCAAATCAACAACAGGAGGCAAGTGGTGCATGCCATCGTCTCTGTGACCCTTGCAGGACGGAGATTGGCTCAAGATCAAGAGTCTCCAGGACTCAAGAGTCCGTTTCAACACACATCTCCACAAAAAGTTTTTTACTTTTTTTACAAAATAAAACAGAAGGATTTTCAAGGGAGGAGACAGAGAATGTCATCCTTTTAGAGATCGCTTCAATAAGTGCTGAATGTACTGCATCTTGTTACTTTGACTGGCCATGACTGGTTCAACTACTTGGAGCTTTGCTTCATTAACCCCTTGGCTTTGCTTTGCTGTAGAGAGACACACAGAGAGACAGAGAATGTCAGATCGCTTCAATAAGTGCTGAATGTACTGCATCTTGTTACTTTGACTGGCCATGATCGGCTTCAACTAGTCGTATCTTTACTTCATTAACCTCTTGCCTCTCTTCCTTCCCTTAAGCTTTGCTTGAATTTTTAATTTTGAACATCGCGATGAAGCACAGACAGAGGATGAAACAGGACCATGGGCGGCGGGCGCACTCCTAATGATGATGGTGCGGTTTGTCGTCGTTGTGGCATCAGGGGCGAGCGCTATCGAGGTGCAAGCGACGACAGGGATGAACGGGTGGCCAAACAACATTGCCGTGCGACCGTCGTGGATGGATCATCTTCCTGATTTTGTCGTGTTTTGGGCTGCCAAGACAATTC